GAGAGAGCATGGAAGGCTTCACAGGGGAGGTGGCATTTGAAGGGAAGGATGGGATGCAGCAGGGGTGATTCCGTCACTGGCCATGTTCAGGGGGCCATGGCAGGAGGGGTGGGGAGGAATGACTGGGGCTGAGCAGCAAAGGGCCCTTGAATGCTAGGATGAGGGGCTGAGCCTCTACCCAGAGGGCAATAGGGAGCTCCAGCAGCATTTAGAGCAGGGCAGTGCTTGGCCTGGGTGTTTCAGAGAGGCTGGGCTGGGGCCTAGGTAGGAGTGAGGAGGGTGAATGGTGTCTGGGGCAGCCCAGACGAGGGGTCCATCTTCCTCCCTTCCCTCCACACCACCTGCAAATAACCCATCTGGGGCCACCCCTGAATCTCTTTTTTTTAGACAGAGTTTCACTGTTGTCGCCCAAGCCGGAGTGCAATGGTGTGACCTTGGCTCACTGCGCCTTCTGCCTTCCAGGTTCAAGTGATTCTCCTGTCTCAGCCTCCTGAATAGCTGGGATTACAGGCGCCCACCACCACGCCCAGCTAATTTTTTCATATTTTTAGTAGAAACAGGGTTTCATCATGCTGGCCAGGCTGGTCTCAAACTCCTGACCTCAGGTGATCCGCCTGTTTTGGCCTCCCAAAGTGCTGAGATTCCAGGCGTGAGCCCCCCCTGCCTGACCCCTCCTCTGAATCTGTACTCTTCTAAGGGTACAACTTTGCAAATCCTGGAGACTCTCTGGCTGCCCTAGCCTCCCTGTGAGACTCCTTTGCAGTCATTCCCGTTGCCCACCCCCAAGGAGCCTCAGTTTCCCCATCTCTAGCATACACAGGTCAGACATAAGAGACTGTTTCTCAGCCGCCCCTGTGCAAGCCCATCCATGCTCACAGAGCCAAGACGCGCCTCAGCCCACAGGACCCCTTGGTTGGAGGGATGGCTGGGTCCTCAGAGCACGTCCCTCCTGCCCCTCTCCCTGCTGTAGAGATAGGATCTGGCTCTGTCATCCAGGCTGGAGTGCAGTGGGGTGATCATAGCTCACTGCAGCCTCAAACTCCTTGGGTTCAAGTGATCCTCCCACCTTGGCCTCTCAATCTCTCCTTTCTGGCCTTCATTTGCCCATCTGTAAAATGGGAACGTATGTTTTCATCTCATTAAGTTATCCTGAGACTAAATGGGTCAGCAGATGTAGGTATTGCTCCAACTTGAGAAATTGTGTCCAACCCCTCCAAACTCCTACTCCTACTCCAAAACCCAATGTAAATTTTCCATCTTCAGTTCAGGCCCAGGACAGCCTTTGGCTCTTCACTGTCCTCTGCCCTCTGCTCTCCCAGCTCCAACCCTGACCCCATGGGAGAGCTTGTGTCTGGCTCTGTCCCCCCCTCTGCCAGGCTAGTGGGGGGTCCTTCCTGGAGTTCCAAAATTACTCAGCCTGGGGCACAGCAGGAATGCTGCTGAAGAAATGGAGAGGAAGAGAAGGGTCAGGGAAGGGATGCGGCAATGGGGAGCCAGAGAAGGTGGAGGAGGGAGGCAGTGCACTCGGCAGAGACCTCGGTGGGACAGATGGAGAGAGGGAGCCGGGAGGAGGTGGGCAGAGCCAGATGGACGGGCAGGGGCGACAGGAGGGGTGGGGTGTGGGGAGACCCAGATCCCCTCCTGGCACGCCTCCTCCTGGCTCGGGCAGGCAGCGCAGGCAGGGCCCGCCTGGGCGTCGGGCGCAGGGCGCAGGGCGCAGGGCGCGCGGCGCGGGGCCCGAGCGTGCAGTGTGGCGGGTGCGCGCCTGTGCGCCCGGGGCGGCCGGGCAGGCGGGCGGCGGCACGTGGATGCCAGCCTGGCGCGCGTCTCCAGGCCGGTGGGTAAGGCGGGCGCCGGGCCGCGGGGTGGGGACAGCCGGGCCTTGGAGTTCGGCTTTGGTGTGGAGGCCTGGAGAGGAGGGGGCTACCCAGCTGGCTTCTCTGGATCAGACCAGGACCCCCTCTTCCCGGCCGCCCAAGCTGACCCAGGAGGGGGGAAGGGACCTCCCAGTAGGAGGCGGAAGGGCCCAGGCTATGTGATGGGTGGGGGAGATGGGGAAGAGGTACCCCAGCCCCCCAACCCCAGAACAAGGTGGGGGTGGAGGGTTCAGTGATGGGGGCAGATTCTCTCCCCGCAGCCGCCCCTCCCCGCCTCCCTCGTCCATCTCCAGATTATATTTAAATATCTCTTTTGTGCAAGGCAGGAGCTGGGCTCGCCCCTAAGAGGCGGTTTCCATGGCAACAACAATTGCCAGCTTCCGTGTGGTGAATCAGCGTTGCCATGGCAACCCCATCCTCATCTGCCCAAGGTGCTGGGAGGGGGGAGGAGGTGAGGGCCAACGGAGGTGGGGTGGGAGGGGTGGGGGGGAGCAGGAGGCTGGAGCTCCTGCAGGTGCCCCCCATCTCTCCCCACCTCCCCTGGCACCCCCCTCCCAGCCCAGAAGCTGGTCCCATCTGGTTGCAACCATCTCCCCTCCTGCCTCCAGCCTAGCAGGGTGTGGTACCCAGGTGGAAAGGGCCCTGGTGTGTATGCATGGGGGGCATGGGGTGGGAAGGCGGTCCAGCTAACTGGATGGGGGAGGGGCACGGAGGTTTTCCTCTCCTAGGTGGTCAGGGTCCCTCTGAGGGTGTGGCTGGGGGGCAGGAAGTTTGGGCTGGGAGGATTGGGAGCACAGGGTCAGGGAGGCAGGGGCCTCTCTGGTTCTGGGGCCCCCAAGGCTGAGTTCAGATTGAAGAAACCATATGTGCCGGGGACATACACTCAGGAAGGAGGGTGTCAGAATGGGAGAGGGTCTTGGAGAGGGGAGGGGACCCAGAGATGAGGAAGAGTCTCTGAAGTGGGAGGGGCTTGAAGAGAAGAGGGAAGCTTGGTGGGGGGGTGGACATGCAGAGGGGTCTCTGAGGAACGGAGTGCAAACCGAGGGGTTGCTCAGGGTGGGAGAGAGGACATGGAGCTGGGATGGGGCTTAGAGAAGAGGTCAGATCACAAGGGACAGAGCTCCTTGGGGAGAGGACTTTGGGGGTTCAGAGATGGGGAGGGGGCCTTGTTTATGGGAGTGGGTGGACAGATCACTGAACCTGGAATCCAGAAAGTCTTCACTCACCACGACCTTACACAGGTAACTTCTCTCTTAGACAAATAACAGAAACCTTGATGTTGACATCTGTAGAATGGGGTGAAAACTGCACCTCTCTCTGACGCTTGTTGGGCAGCTGTGCTGTGATTAGAGAACCTGGCATTTGGCCGGGCGCGGTGGCTCACGCCTGTCACCCCAGCACTTTGGGAGGCCGAGGTGGGCGGATCACGAGGTCAGGCGATCCAGACCATCCTGGCTAACGTGGTGAAACCCCATCTCTACTAAAAGTACAAAAAAAATTAACCAGGCATGGCGGCGTGCGCCTGTAGTCCCAGCTACTCGGGAGGCTGAGGCAGGAGAATGGCTTGAACCCGGGAGGCGGAGGCTGCAGTGAGTCGAGATCGCACCACTGCACTCCAGCCTGGCGACACAGTGAGACCCCGCCTCAAAAAGAAGAAAAAGAAAAAGAAAACCGGGTGTTTTTCAAGTGCGTTCTCTGCCAAAATTCAAAAGTCAGAAGAGTAGAAAGAGCACTTCGGAACCCATAGGGCTCGGGGGGCATGGGGATCTATTTCAAGTTTGTCTGACTTGGAAAAAGCTCTGAGACTAGCAGTCTTTCCCATTCCAGATGCCTCTCTGTGTTGGTGGAAGTTGGCCACTTCCTTCTGGCCCCTTCTGTTCAGCAGGTTTCTCCATTTCATCCATGTGTCCCTCCCCATGTGGAGAGATACTGTGGTCCCCTGTCTGGAGAGAGACAGAACAAGACATAGACACTTCTGGCCCTGAGACAGAGGGAGGAACGAGCCCAGAGGAGTGGGAAGAGTCCCTGCATGGACATTTTTAAGTTGGGTTTTGAAGGTTGAATAGGAGTTTGCCACAGACATCAGGTTGGGAGAAGGGTTCTGTCCCAGGACCAATGGAGATACAAATGCCTCCCCAACTCTCACTTCCCTGGAACCTGTTCTCAAATATCCGAATTAGCTCATACCTAGGACTGGGTATGTTGTGAGGGTTGGTGCAAGGGAGAATTTGTTTCTTCATTAAACATGATTTTCAGTGCCTGGGGCGGGGGACAAAATTGTCAAGAACAATGAAACCAGATGGCAGGCGGGTCCACTCAGGTATGACCCCACCCAAAGCTCCTGTATGACCCCTCCCAAAGCTCCTGGGAGATGTGGCTAAATGTAGCTGCCTTGGTGTATCGGTCAGCACTGCTGAGTAACAAACGACTCCAGTAATTGTATTTTTTCTTGATTCTGCAAAGCTCAGTCTGGTCTCAGCTGGACAGTTCTGTTGGCCTCTCTTGGGGTCACTCCACAGCTGCAGTCAGCTGAGACTCCACTGGGCTTAGCAGGAGAGGACGGGGAGAGGGGGGCTCCTCTTGGGCTTCTCCACCGGGCAGTCTCAGGCTTCCAAGAGTGGAAGCTACAAGGTCCCTCGAGGCCTAGGCTCAGAACTCCCACAGCTTAACTTCCACCACATTCTGTGGGTCACAGCAAGTCACTTGGCCAAGTTCAAGTGCCAGGAGTGGGAAAATAGACTGTAGTTCTTGAGGGTAGGAACTGCAAAGTCACATCGTACTAAGAGACTGGAGGAAGTGGGCCTATCGCATTTGGGGAAGCAAGGAGGTTTCCTGAAGGAAGGGATATTGTTGTTGGGTTTTGAGGGCTAACTAAGAGTTTGCCACACAAGTCCCCTTGTAGGCGGGACCGTGTGTCATTTGCTTTGACTGGGGTATTAGTGGGGTGCTGAGGGCTGGTGGTGGGAGGTGAGCAGGGCTGCACGGCAAAGCTCAGGCAAAGCCCCCGCCCACCACACTCCCACCATTGAGCCTGACTTTTCCCTTACCCCTCTCTCTGCAGATGGCGCGGCCAATCCAGGTGAAGCCTGCGGACAGCGAAAGCCGCGGAGGTAGTTGTCATCTCTCTGTGGCTGCCAGGCTGGGGGTTGGCAGAGGAATGGGAGAAGAAGGAAAATCTGTTCCTTCCTCCCTCCCCCAAAGGGACAGTGGCCAAGGCCTGTGCATCTGGAACTGGCCTCCCTGCCCCAAAGCACGCAGTAGTCGCATGCCTGCTCACACACCTCTTGGTGGGGGGAGAGGCAGGGGCTCCAGAGAGCAGCAGGGGCTATGTCCATAGACCCCAAGGGAGGATGGAGGGGTCTAGCCAGGTCCAGCTGCCTTCCCCCTAGAGTTTGAAATATCCCACTCCCTTCAGGGTGCAATAATCCAGAGACTTTAAACACAGACGATGGGGGCCTGAATGGCTGTGGATTGCTCTCTGGGGTCTCTGTGTGCAAATGTTTGTGTGCTTGTATGTGCATGCTTGAATGTGTGTGTATATGAGTGCACACCCGGCTTGGCTGCGTGCAGATGTGTGAGTCCGTGCACGTGTGCATTTGTGTTTCTGCAGATGGTGCACATGAGCACGCGTGTACGGTGTGCGGTGGGATGCCTTCCTGCCCGCGTGCATGTGCGTGTGCCCGGCCTGCGCATGGGCGTGTTTGCACGTGCGTGCTTGACTGTGGGAGGCTGGGGCCACTGGGGTCTGCGTGGGGCTGGAGCTTGCTGTCAGGACATCCCCATGGCGGGGACATACTCTGCTGTTCCTTGGGACCCAAAGCTAGTCATTCTTGAAAATGTGTATATTTCCTCTCCACCTCAAGTGGAGACTGAAGAGGGGCAGCCAGACTTGGTTGAGTGATGTGGGGCAGGAGTGTTAGGACCTCTAGGTATATGTAGGAGCCCGGTAAAGGGGCTGGGAACCCATTTCACACTTTCCACCCTGGCTGCCAGCGTGGGACAGGGAGAAGTGAGGTGGTGTCTGCATGTCCCCACTCTATTTCTCTCTCTCTCTCCATCGCCCTCTGTGTATCTCTTTCTCCTTTTTCTCTTCTGTCTCTTCATCCCTCTTATTCTCTCTCTGTCTCTCGCAGTCTCTCTCGCACGTGCACTCTCTGATCTGTCTCTCTCTGCCTGATTCTCGGTCTCTCTGCTGGTTTTTCTCTCTCCTTCCCACCCCCATGAGTGACAGCTGCCGAGAGCGGTTTCCATAGTAACCCAGCTCGCCGTCCCTCGGAGATGAAGCCACCACGTTCCCCATTACCAGGGAGCATGCGATTACCCAAAGGGGCAGAGCTCACACAGGAGAGGCTGGCCCAGCCCCTGCTCAGACCAGGTTCCAGCCCAGCCCCACCCGGCAGAGGGTCCAAGCTGCCAGGGCCCCTGGTCCTGTGAGCACGTGAACCCTCACTCCATTCCACAGATGGTGACTGCCTGTCCCCTCTTGATCCCGACAAGGTTGGGCAGGGGCCTCTGCTGGGCACCAAGAGGGTCCAGGGACCGTCAGTGCCCATCTCCGCTGGCAGGTACGGGGGAGCAGACAGAAAGACAGACAGGGACCCAGGCCCGGCGAGGCATCTCCTAGCCGTAGTGTTCGGTGCAGGCTGAGTGCACCAGAGGGAGAGGTCATCTCCGCCTGGAGGGGGAGCAGTGGAGCAGAGACCCCAAAAGACTGCAGGGAGTGCATTCCAGGCGGGCAGAAGCCCGGAGATGGGAACCTGCAGGGCCCGTGGGAGGGTGGAGAGATCCGGGGCAAGGAAAGGGCGCGGCTGGGTCCTCCCTCGCAGGCGCAGAACCGGAGCCGGCAGGACCCGGGCGCCGCATCTTCCTGCCCTGCCGCCTCCACTCTGCTGGAGGGAGGGAGGGAGAAATCCCGGAGGCCCTCCCGGAGGCCGGGGACTCGGCTGAGGTGGGTGTCGCCGCCCACAGGGGACCGGAAGCTGTTCGTGGGGATGCTGAACAAGCAGCAGTCAGAGGAGGACGTGCTGCGGCTGTTCCAGCCCTTCGGGGTCATCGACGAGTGCACCGTGCTCCGGGGGCCTGACGGCAGCAGCAAAGGTGACGGGCGGGGACTGCGAGAGGGGCGGGGCTGGCACTGGGGGCGGGGCCTGTGGGGAGGGTGGGGCCTGCAGCGTGGGGAGGAGCCGGCTATAGCCTGGGACCCTGGGGAGGGGTGGGGCTTCTCCAGGGGTGGAGCCTATAGTGAGGCAGCAGGGGCAGGGCCTGTGGGGGAATTGCAGGGGCGGGCCTTGGGAGGGGCTGGGGCTGCAGTATGGGGAGGAGCTGGCTCTGGGGTGGGACCCTAGGAAGGGGCGGGGCTTCTCCAGGGGCGGTGTCTGGGTGAGGATACAGGGGGCGGGGCCTTGGGAGGGGCTGGGGCTGCAGGGTGGAGTGCAGCTGGCTCTGGGGGCAGGGCCTGTGGGGTAAGACCCTAGGGAGGGGAGGGGCTTTACCAAGGGTGGGCCCTTGGGGAGGGCTGGGGCTGCAGGGTAAGGAGGAGCTGGCCCTGGAGAGGCCCCAGGTTTCACCAGAGGCTGCAGCAGTGGGGCGTTGGGTAGGGGAGGGGCTACAGGGAGAGGTGGAATTTGTAGGGTTAGGAGGGACTGGCTCAGGGGCGGGGGGGGTGCCGTGGGAAGGAGAGGGGCCATGGGAGAGGGCGGGGCTGAACACACTGAGTGGGGCTGGCCAGGTGGGGCGGGGCGAAGCCCATAGGAGGCTGGGGCTGGTGGGGAGGAGCTGGTTCACAGGGGTGGGGTTGGGTAGAGACTGGTCCCGCATGATCCTACCTGCATGCTCTCTCTGCATGGGGGCTCTGGGGACCGGCCCTGAAGAGGGGCGGGGCTGCGGTGGGGAGGGCGGGGATGCAGGGGCGTGGCCTTGGATGGGGCGTGGTTGGGGAGGGGCAGGGCTTCTCCAGGGGCTGCTTGTGAGTGGTAATGCAGGGGCGTGGCCTTGGGATGAGGCGGGGTCTGGAGAGGGGCGGGGCTTCTCCAGGGACACAGTTACCTGTGTCCTTTGGTCTCGGATTCGTCCACCTGACTGTTGGTAGAACTGTTTCCGCCTGCTTCTGTCTGAGTCTATACGATTTGTCTATATGACTGACTGTGGTGGTCTCTGCCTGTCTGGCTGCCTTCCTTCTTGAGAGTTCAAATGACGGTGTCTGGTGGTCTCTGTCCACAGAGCTCATCTGGAACCGAACACTCTGGTCTTTCCTACCTTACTAGGACCGAATGTATCCGATGGTTTCAGAGCATTGCCTGGTTCTTCCTTTTTAAAATTGAGATGTCATCCACATCCCACCAAATTCACTCTTTTAAAATGCACAGTGAGGCCAGGCCTAGTGGCTCATGCCTGCAATTCCAGTACTGTGGGAGGCCAAGGCAGGTGGATCACTTGAGGTCAGGAGTTCAAGACCAGCCTGGCCAACGTGGCAAAACCCCATCTGTACTAAAAATACAAAAGTTAACCGGGCGTCTTGGCGGGCACCTGTAATCCCAGCTACTAAGGAGGCTGAGGCCTCCGGCAGGTGGAGATTGCAGTGAGCCGAGATGGTGCCATTGCATTCCAGCCTGGGCAACAGAGTGAGACTTCATCTAAAAAAGAAAATGTATAATCTATTCATAAAGCCGCGCAACTATCACCACTGTGTAATTCCAGAACATTTCACCCCCTCCCCCCACAATATGGCTGGTCCTTCCATAGTACTCTATCAGTCTGGAGCCGGGTCTGGTGGCCTCTGCCTGTTCTATGACTTTGTCCGTGGGACTGTGTTTGCATTAGGCTGTATCTGGTGGTCTCTGGTGGTCTGTCTGCTTGTGTGGCTCTGTCTGGGTCTGCTCAGGTCTCCTGGTTGATCATTTCCATCTATCTGGCTGAGTCAGACAAGGTCCGTCTGTCTGGACCCACACATGTCTCTGCTGACTCTGCCTATGGGACTGTGTGTCCCGCGGTCTGTCACTTTAACTCCGCATATCTGATCATAACTATCTGGACTATGGTCCTGTCATTTGTTCTGATGGACGGGACCTCATCCCTGACAGTGCCCAGCCTTGCACTGTCCATCTGGCTGTGTGCTTCACAAACTCTGTGACTGATCGTCTAACCAGCTATCCGGATGGCTGGCTGACTTTCTGCCGGACTAAATGAACGAATGGCAGGCTGGCTGGCTGGCTGCATGGGTGACCAGCTCTTCGTCTAACTCTGTGGCCGCCTATCTGTGCGATTCTCCTCCATTCTGATCCTTGGTCTGGCTGATTGTCCACCTATCTGTCTGAGCAAATGGCTGGCTGCCTTTCTGTCATCAGCTCTCCCTGGGAGCATGTCTGACACTGGCCACATAGGTCTCTGTGTCCCCTCTCATGTGTCCCCCACTCCACCAGCCCTGTGACCCCATCACTCCTCTATCTCCTTCTCTCCGAGCAGGCTGTGCTTTCGTGAAGTTCTCCTCCCACACGGAGGCGCAGGCGGCCATCCACGCCTTGCACGGGAGCCAGACCATGCCGGTGAGTTGCAGCTGCCCTTGGCTGTGGGGGTGGGCATGGGAAAGGGGTGAGGGGGACAGGGATGAAACAGGCCATAGTCTTACCATCACTGTCATCCAGTAGCCCCTGGCTGTCCTTCAGAGGGAGCACAAGTGGAGAAAGAGGTGCAGTCCCTGACTGGTCCCTTGCGTGGGTATATGCATGTGGGTGTGTGCAGATGTGGAGGTGAGTATGCAAGCAAAGTGTGTGTGTGCATGGATGTATTACAGTGTGTGTGTGTGGTTCAGCGTGTGTGGGTGAGCATGCCTGAGAGAATACATGCATGCATGTGTGTGTGAGTGCATGTTTGAGCACGTCATTACTGGTAGGAGAGTTATGTGAGTGCTGTGTGCACGAGGGGTGTGTGTGAGTATAGATGGTTAAGTGTGCCATTGTGTGCTAGTGTGTAGATACTGGCACATGTGTGTGTTTATGTGAGTGCCCGTGTGTGTTGCTACATGTGTGTGAGCGTGTGTGTGCGTGTGCCCGGGCCCTGGGGGAGGAATTGCATGTATGTGCATCTGCAGGTGCGTTTGCGGGCACATGTGTGTGTGTGCATGAGTGTGAGTGTCAGTATTGTGGGTGATTGTGTACACGTTTGTGAGTATATGCAGGTGTGAGTATAGATTGTGAGTGTGAGTGTATGTGTGTACATGTAAGGGTGTCCTAGAGGGGATGACACCTGGGTTGGATTTGCTGAGGACAAGAAGAAAGGCTGGGAGGTGGCAGCAGACAGCCCGGAGGAGCAACAGAAGATGGGGCTGCAATTCGGGGCTGCAAAGCCGGAACCTTTTCTTAGGGCAGTAGGGAGCCACAGATGGTTTAGAGCAAGGGAGGAGACCGGCCAGGTTGATTGCGGATATCCCTTTGGGGTCAATGTAGGGGATGGGCAGGGTGTAAGACTGGAGGTTGGGAGGCCAGGGGGAGGCTGGGAGGCCAGGGAGGAGGCTGGGAGTCCAGGGAGGAGGCTAGGGCAAGGTCCAGCTGAGGGAGGAGGAGGCCTGAGCTGGGGCCAGGTGGATGGGGAGGAGGCCTGGTCAGAAAACAGACGGTAGGGGAAGCCTGGATGGGAGCCATGGACTCCCTGGGTGAGGTAGGGATGGGGACCGGGGACAGGTCCCAGGGTCTGCAGCAGTAAGCAGCTGGCGGGACCAAGTAGTCACTGGGGATGGCCCTTCCCCTGATGATGGAGTTCCCGGGGGCCATCATGCCTACACACACATTTCCAAATCTCCTACAAGGAAGATGGCTCCTGGGAGGAATGACCCTCCCCTCTCGGCTCTGAAAGCCCAAAGCGGAAGGGCTTAGCTTACCCTCAATACAAGGGTAAGTGTTCTCAAGCTCAGAGACATCAGGGACAGGGCTGGTAGGCGTCTGGAGGAGTGAGTTCTCTATCAAAGGGGGCATGTCAGCCAAGACAGGGAGGCTACAGGGTGCATTCTGCTGGGAGACAGTTCATCAGGGAGGAACTGGTCGAAGGGGAAGATATTTTTCTTCTTAAGCCCAAATCAGGGTATGGGGGTGGGAATGGCCTCCTGGGCCCCTGACCCCAGGCCTCTCTCTCTCTCTCTCTTTTTTTTTTTTTTTTTGAGATGGAGTCTTGACCTGTTGCGCAGGCTGGAGTGCAGTCGTGGGATCTCAGCTCACTGCAACCTCCGCCTCCCAGGTTCAAGTGATTCTGCTGCCTCAGCCTCCTAAGTAGCTGGTGTTACAGGCACGTGTCACCACACCCAGATAATTTTTGTATTTTTAGTACAGACAGGGTTTTGCCATGTTAGCCAGGCTGGTATCAAACTCATGACCTCAGTTGATCCGCCCACCTTGGCCTCCCAAAGTGCTGGGATTACAGGCATGAGCCACTGCGCCCAGCCACCAGGCTTCTCTTGACACTGATATCAGGACCCATTGCCATGTCCTGACTGCACAGACAGATACCCCTTGCTCACCACCGTCTCAGCTGCCCAGGGCTGCCTGTTGGTAGATTTCAGCTGTGTGGCACCTGTCCCATGGGGTGGGATGGCAGTCACATGGTTTCTGTCTGTGCTCCAGCAAAGCAGGGCCTCCTGTCCCTAGTGGTGGCAGCCTTCCGCTGTCCGCTGGGTGGATGGATCACAGGTTCATCTGCTTGCACAGGGCACAAAACTGGGGCTGAACTCCCCGCTAGCTCCTGGCACGAGGGACAGAGTCAGGATCATCTACTTGTCCCACATCCTTCCTCTCCTGTGGCTGGAGTCTCACCTGTTCTCAGATGTGAGAGAGAGTTGAAGGGTCATCCATCTGTGCTCCAGTTGTTCCTTTCTGGAGATTGGAGTTTCAGGTGTGGGTGACAAAAGCAGGGTTGTCCACCTGAGCCTGCTGTTTTCCTTCGGAAGTGGGTTTCTCACCTGTTCTCACGTGAGCGGAAGTCATAGGTGCCTCCATCTGTGGCTTTTCTCCATCTATTTTGAGTGTGTGGCTGACAGTCAGGGCCCCCACCTGTGCCCCGTCACAGCCCCCTAGGTCTGGGCGCTGCACCTGCGCAGACGCCGCTGGGCCCAGGATGCTGATCTCCACGTGGTCCTTGCTGTGGCCCCTGGTCCTGGGACTGGGGGCCTGTGGACATGGCTGGCAGCCACTGGCATTAAGCCCCTCACCCAGGGGTCCTGAGCTGATGTGGATCCAGGGACCCCAGAGTCCTGGCTACCTCCCAGCCCGTTTCCCTCCCTGCTCGCTGCTGCCCCTACAGGGAGCCTCCTCCAGCCTGGTGGTCAAGTTCGCCGACACGGACAAGGAACGGACGCTCCGGCGCATGCAGCAGATGGTGGGCCAGCTGGGCATCCTGACGCCCTCCCTCACACTGCCCTTCAGCCCCTACAGTGCCTACGCCCAGGCTGTGAGTGACCCAGTGATGGCTTTGGGGGTCCGGCTCTGTCTCTCCCATCTCTGTCTACTCTCTGTGGGGGCTCCTGCCTCTTGGCCCATCTCCCGTCTCTCCCTCCATCTCCCTGACTCAGGGTCCTGTCCTGGTGTGGCTGAACCCCAACTCCAAATAGAGAGCAAGCTTAGACCGAGCCCCTAAATCCAGAAGACTGAGCCCTAATCTCAAATTAACACCAAATCTTGGACTGAGCCCCAGAACCTGGCTGTGCCCCACATCTAGATTAGGCCCAATTCTGGCTGAACCTCCAAATCCAGACTGACCCCAAACTGATACCTGACTTGACCAAGCTCCACCTTGGCTGAGACCTGATCCCAAGTTGAGCCCGAGCTCCTGACTGAACCCCTATCCCAAGCAGAGCCTCAATTTCTAACTAAACTTTGATCCTACATGGAGCCTTGATCTCAGTCTGAGCCTTACTTCCTAACTGAGTGTTGATCCTAGACTGAGCCTTAGTCCCAGGCTGAGCGTCACTTCCTAACTGAGTGCTAATCCTATACTGAAACTTAATCCCTGGCCGAGCCTCACTTCCTAACTGAGCCCTGATCCTAGTCTGAGCCTTGATCCAGGCTGAGCCTCACTTCCTAACCGATCCCTGCTCCTAGGCTGAGTTCCAATTCCTAACTGATCCCTGCCCCCAGGCAGAGCCTCGATCCCAGGCTGAGCTCCAATTCGGATCCCAGCCTGAGCCAAAATACCCATCCTGACTTCCCCTCTAGTTACTGGGGAACCAAGCCTCCCCTCGTGAGCCATGATCTCAGGCCAGGTGTCACCCCAACTGTGACACTTCTTCACCTCCAGCTCATGCAACAGCAGACAACAGTGCTGTCCACCTCGGGCAGCTACCTGAGTCCGGGCGTGGCCTTCTCACCCTGTCATATCCAGCAGATCGGCGCCGTCAGCCTCAATGGGCTGCCTGCCACACCCATCGCTCCTGCCTCTGGTGAGCCTCTGCTAGGAGCCCAAGGATGAATGGGCAGGGCCGGGGCCAGAACCAGCCTCCCCATGACCCTCTTCTGCTCCGCAGGGCTGCACTCACCCCCGCTGCTGGGCACCACCGCGGTGCCCGGCCTCGTGGCTCCCATCACCAACGGCTTTGCAGGTGTCGTGCCCTTTCCAGGTGGGCACCCTGCCCTGGAAACCGTCTATGCCAATGGCCTTGTGCCCTACCCAGGTAACTCGGGGTGGTCCTCTGGGGCCTAGGAGAGTGTCAGGGAGTAGAGATGATGTTTCTGGAACAAGTATGAGTCCCTGCATCACAGTGCCCAGGGATAAGCAGGGCAGGCAAAAGGGTGTCTCGGCTGAGCAGATAAGAGCTGTGGACATAGAGAGGCCATGGCAGGGTGATAGCACTTCAAAATGGTGCATCTGGATGTTTCTGAGCTTAAGGTCCAGTTCCTTGACCCTGGGTGGGCTCCTTAAGTCTCTAAGCCTCAGTTTGCTCATCTGGGAAAAGGAGCAGATAATATTAGTAACCTCATAAAGTTGCATCAACAATTTAATCCATGTGCAAAAGGCTTCACATGCCACCTGGTTCCAGGAATGGCACCATTGGTTTTTGTTTTGTTTTGTTTTGTTTCGTTTGAGACAGGGTCTCACTGTCACCCAGGCTGGAGTGCAGTAGCGTGATCACCCCCGCTTCTCAGGTACAAGTGATTCCCCTGCCTCAGCCTCCCAAGTAGCTGGGATTATAGGCGCGCGCCACCATGCCCAGCTAATTCTTGTATTTTTAGTAGAGATGGGGTTTCGCCATGTTGGCCAGGCTGGTCTCGAACTCCTGACCTCAGGTGATCCGCCTGCCTCAGCCTCCCAAAGTGCTTGGATTACAGGCGTGAGCCACCGTGCTCAGCCCAGAAATCGTATTCATCTGTATCATTTGGGGAGATGTCAATGCCTGGATTCATTCATTTATTCATTCAATACAAAATGAATGACCCACTGATTTGGACTGCACCTGTCTTCATGAAGCAGAGGTCCTTACTTTCTCTAGGCTACACCTACAATTTTAGGGCAAATACCTTCTAGCATCTAATTTATGGGAAGTAAGTCATCTGTCTTTCCACCATGTAGGAGAATTTATTTTTAACTTTTTATTTTTTATATTATTTTTATTTAGTTAGTTTTAGAGGTAGTATCTCACTGTGTCACTCAGGCTGGAGTGCAGTGGCACCGTCACAGCTCACTTCAGCCTCCATCTTCAGGGCTCAAGCAATCCTCCCATCTCAGCCTTCCTTGTAGCTGGGACTACAAGCATGCACCATCATGCCCAGCTATTTTTTAAATTTTTGTACAGATGGGATCTTGCTATGTTGCCCAGACCTCAGATTCCTGGGCTCAAGCGATTCACCCACCTCGGCCTCCCAAAGTGCTGGGATTATAGGTGTGAGCCACTGCGTCTGGCTTTAACATTTGATTTTGAAATGATTGGAGGTTCACAGGGAGTTACCCAAATACCACCGAGTAGTCCCATGTGCCTTTCACCCAGCTTCCACAAGGCCAACAGCTTCCCTAACCACAGAACACTGTCAAATCCAGGAAATGAACACTGGCACCATGCAATTAATTCAACTCCAGACCACATTCAAATTTCACCCCTTATTTATTTATTTACTTACTTATTTAGAGACAGAGAGTCTCACTCGTCACCCAGGCTGGAGTGCAGTGGTGCGATCATAGCTCACTGCATCCTTGAACTGTCAAACACCGGGGCTGAAGTGATCCTTTCACCTCAGCCTCCCGAGTCACTGGGACTACAGCTACATGCCATTATGTTTGGCTCATTTTTGATTTTTTTTTTTTTTTTTTTTTTTTTTTTTTTTTTTTTTTTTTTTTTT